ATGCCTCTGAGAGGAGTCAGAGGTCTTGAGATTAAAACTCCATTCGACTTGAAACCCCATCATAGTGCTTCCGAGTGCATGATAAGAATGGATATAAAAGTAAATTAAAGATGTTAACAGAAAATCATGGCATGCCCTCCATCGGCTTAAAAACGGGACATGATATTGAAACTCTTTTCTACTTGAAACCCCATTCTAGTAGTTCCAAGTGCATGACAAGAACGAAAGAGAAAATTTGGTTACGTACTTAAGTTATACTTTAGAGCTAGGGGTCCAAGTCTAGTTGGAAGCAATTTGGTATTTTAGTACCATTTTAGGAGTTATATTTTGTGTGTTCTTGTTATTAGTTGTTTGAAGTGAAGAAATTCAGTGTTTATGCTTCAGGAGTGTTTTCCATTTCCTTAATAAAAAAGTTGTAAGTACTGTTTTAGCTAGGGGCTTTTGCTACTTTAAGTACTTTGTGTGTTTACACTTTTACACAAATAATCAATTTGTTTTGCCAAACTACTCCAAATTCTACGTCTTTAAATTACTTTTGTTTTAAAAATCTGCCATATTTTACTATTAAATATTTCCTCTATAAGCACTAAAGTAAATCAAGTCTCAAAAGCACAAGCAAACACAATCACTGCCTTAGTGTACAGTAAATGTCACATGATGTGATTGTTGATTTTATAATATTGATTTTGCAATGGGACCTAGCTGTAGTAACTATCTCAACTAACCGCTCTCTCACAATATCTTCATGCAAGTGTGAAGAACCTATGAGGCTATGAATCTATGATGACCATGGTTTTTGGAGTTCATCTAAATATCTAATAATTCCTTCTTTACAAACTTGTGTCAGGAAGGGTGTCCAACATAAAACTTTTCACTGTGTTTTTGCATGAATATATAAAGTTAACTTGATAGATACCAATCCCGTAATTTGTACAAAACATAATGAATTTTAGACTATCAAAACACTAAATTACATGATGATGAAATTCTTTATCAGTCTTGTTATGAAGTGCATTTAATGGCCTGACAGTAAAAAAAGCTATTTTATTTGTTAAAATCAAGCAAAGTTGTCAAGATCAGTTTTTTTATCTAGGATGGGGGGGGATTGTAAACCGGGGATCCTTAGAGCCTACCTAGTACTTTAAATAACAGAATTATACTTTTACAGTTAACATATCCGTATAACATATGCTTAAAAAAGAACAATGATGAGGACAATAAATTACTAACTTATATTGTATTCCTTAAGTTTAATGCCGCAAATCCATAACTCATAAGATCAAAATCATAAACAACCAACACAATTTAAAAGTTAAACTCAATAAAAAATCAAGCCTTCTAGAACTAAAATTGCTTCAACCTTTCAACATTCAAAATGGCCATCCACTCACCTTTCCTGTGCTCTCCTCTCTCTGCCTTTGGCAATTTGTAGTTATGAACCTCCAAGGTGCACAACCAACCACCATTACTACTAACATCTGTATTCTTCTTGAGCCAAGTACCTTGATCATTATTTCATACCTTGTTTGATGCATCATTTTTACTTTCCCAAGAGAAGATCGTAGGTTGTAGCCCATCCCTCGCAGGGTTGGGTAGTATGTTAAACAGATACTACAGATGGCTTAAAGTGCATGAAAAAAATTCATTACTCTTCATTGTACTCATCATCCTAGGAGAGATCCTTAATGTTACACTCATTTTCTTCCGTAAAAGACCCTTCTTGTTCAATCTTGAATTAGCAATTACAAATAGTACCTCATTCATAATCTTTTGCTTTAAAAAATTCCTTTTCTTGGTTGATATTCAATTATAAACTATGAATGAGTTTGAAGTTTGAACCATACAAATATTGTATGAGACAAATTTAGTGGGACAGAATTTAAAAAGGAAAGTACACATAGGGGTTGTTTACTTTTTTCTTCCATAAAGTTCTGTCTGGATTAAGATGTTTGTCTGGTAAAAGTTGTGGTTGAGATTTGAGTATAATAAAATGAAATGGTGTAGGCCACATATTTCTTTCCAAAAAAGGAAATGAAACACTTATTTTGGGACAACTAAAAAAAAAAGCAGGACATTTAAAATGGGACGGAGGGGTATTATTCTTGAGTTGTAAAGTCAATAAGAAACTTCATTTATTAATATAAAACTATTCCACAATCAATTTGAAAAAATTGACGGGAAAAAACGTCTTAATAAATGTGTTAATGGGAAGGACTGTTATTCTCCAGCTTAATGATTAAGTCAGTTTTTTGACTTAATGATGAAGTCGTGTTTTCAATTAAGTCATAAGTAAACATGACTTAATGGCTGAACGATTAAGTCACTGTTCTTGTTAAGTCCATTAAGTCGAAAGTAAACAACCCCATATTAACACATGGGGCGAAGGGAGTAACACTTGCTAGGTTATAGACTTATAGGTAATATTAAGAAGAAAATACAGCTTGTTTCATAAATCCTAACGAGTACAAATGGTTAAAATGAAAGAATGATTTCTTATGTCTTTCAAAATCTGGTTTCGTCCCTAAAAGAGCCATGTTTAAAGTTTCAACAATGGAATGTTCGATACTATCTTTATCATATAATTTTCTGAAAAAAAGTGTTAAGCATGTTAAATATGATGGACTATTTAATTAAATGAATAGATAAACTCAAAAATATAAATTGAATTGCTACTCAAGAGTCATTGCTTGGGAAGTATGGGAACATTAAAAACTTGTACCTTGCTACTTTTTTGTGTACACGCAGATAATATTAACTACGGAAAACGTAAAATCTGAATAGCTTCTTTTATGTGTCTAATCACTTCCCCACGATTTTTGTAATTGTTATTTACTAGTTTCACAAAAGTTTTTTTGAGGAAGAAATATCAAGCACAAAGACCATAATATCCTTATGTTTGCATACATGGAATATAAATACAAAAAAACTAGCTCTGTTTCGAAATATATAGATATATAACTCGAAGGCATTGTCGTTCCAATATCCAATATATATATATATATATATATATATATATATATATATATATATATATATATATATATATATATATATATATATATATATATATATATATATATCAATGTGCATATGAAGAGTAAATATAGAGAAACCTAATGATAGTAGACTATTTACACACACACACACACACACACACACATATATTCATAGCTAATGTAAAGCCATCAAGTTTACATACATGATTTTATCACTTTCATATACACTTGGATAGTTGGGCACATGCATGGACATGGTATAATTATCTAACACCTGCTAAAAAAAATATGTGTGCAGGTCCATCATCTGAACCACTTCTACGTGATGGTAGATGATAGTATTGAAATGGGCGATATTTCTGTAAGGATTTTGTTAGAATATGTTCTGTTGTTCATTAATAGCTCCGCAATGAAGGTGATGGTGTAAAGTCTCAGGCGGTAGTGAGGCTTAATGGTTTCCTGGTTGATCACTCAACGGAACACCATTTTTTTCAATATAAAAATTGCATGTACTATTATACTATATATACTCGGTTTCATTTTGTATTTCTTCATTCTATTTCACAAAGATCACAAAACGGGTCAACGGGTCATCATCCTCTATGGCGTATAATTCTAATTTCTAACCGTTGGTGGCAAGTTCTTTTCCTACTCTGCTTTCTCACCTTGAACTTGTACATGACAATTGTGGACAGGAATGTTGAAAGATGAAAGAAGGCCAAAATATGAGGAGCATGCAAAATCACAAATTCATAAAAAGAATCATATAAAATAGAGTCCTACATATTATTCGCATAATATCCATACTGTAGAAGAATGTTTCAAGGGGAATGTTTGAAAAAATAGCTGATAGTGACTATGGGATTCAGATATATATATATATATATAGGAAATCTTTCCGGTAAGGTATACCTTACCGGAGCCGCCGTGCGGCCTCCACGTTTTGAGAGCCTTCCCGGTGGAATTTTTCGATGAATTTTTTTGAGCATGTTCGTCATCAAGTCTAGTACATTCATACCAAATTTCAGCAAAAAATTCAATCGGAAAGGCAGCCAAACGATTTTTGGAAGATAACTGCGTTATATATATATATATATATATATATATATATATATATATATATATATATATATATATATATATATAGCTTTTTCTTTATAGTATTTTATAATGTAGGGAAGTATTGAATAACAATGGCCAAAAGTCGATTATCACATCAAGGCTGTGATATAATGAAAGAATAATGACATGTGCATATTTGCTAATAAATGCATTACACCGTATTTAGTGGAGACTTATTTTGTCTGCAGATTTTATAATTTTTTTTGCAACAAGTAAGCTTAATTAATATTAATCAAATCGTGGTTCAAGGCCCGCAAAATACATATACGAGAATTCGACAATCATACTTGAAACGACTGCCTGAGCAAGCTCATGAGCAACACGATTCGCAAACTGTCTAACAAAAGTAGAAGAAATGCTACTAAAACTCTTAAAGTCTTAATTAAGCTCATGAGCAACACAATTCGCAAACCGTCTAATATTTATAAATAAAAAACGTTTCTAATTCTTATACTGTTAGAGTATCACACTATCACTACTCATTTTCTATACGCTTCTAAGTTTTCTATACCATTTTTATTACACCAATACGTCATCAGTGATTTTTATATACTCCGCATTTGTTATCAAATATACACCTTGTTAGCTCATTTGACAATACTTAAAATGGTTAAAGTGGTTAAATATACTTAAATGGGTTTAAACAGTACTGAAAAGACTTAATTGAATTTGCTTTAAAAATGAAAATATGAACACTAATAAAATAAAGATAGATATAGGGGGGGAAATAAATTAGATATCTTCAACAACTTCAATTGCTTCACTCGAAGTACCTCTAACTTTGTTTTTTCTAATTATTAACTCATCTGGCATGCATAATTAACTAATTAAGAAGAGTTCGTGTGTGGGCCACAGGCAAGTGACGCAACACAGGCAACTGCTTGCTTTTCTTTAAAAAATTATGTGGCTTTTGTAATAACTGTCCATGTACAAAGACAACTAGAATGTGTGTACAAAAACGTTTAAATACAAATACATTTTCCAATTAAGAAATCAATGTTTGGTAAATAACATATAAATATGACACTAAAATTAAAATAACAAGAATAACAAACGGCTACTAACACTTAAAAAGTAATCATGGTCCCAGGGTCGGGTTCTAGATGTCTTTCATTCATTCTTAATAAGAGCATGAGGACCGGGCCGTTTACGTGACAGTATTTCAGAGCCATTATTCCCAACAAGATGCACTTTGTACTCCAAATCCAAAATAAGGAAAATTACATCAACATATGGATTTATGAACGCTTTCTTTCATAAACCAAAGCTTCAATAGATGAGTAGGGATTGGGGGTGTAATACTATATGCAAGAATGAGCACTTCATATGGATCAATGATCCTAGAGTCCATCAAAATGAGTCCTTGTCTGCGAGATGAAAAATTGAATTCATACATCATCTCCATGAAATTACATCATGAATCATGAATAAGTAACATTATGGAGTGCAATGTACATTTCATATGAATTGTGTATACCATGGGGTTACCCAACTGACTGCGGGTTGGGTCTTGGATTGATAAGTTTGATCATAGCCGTCCAGCCCCAATTTTACTATAGATCACTGGAGTGTTGACTCTGACAACATTGGAATCACCTTTGCTCAGCATTTGCACTGTAGTAATAGTAAGAGATAAAAATGCATAATCTCAAAAGCCTTGGTATCAAAATAATGGTTCAAAAACGAGGTCCTGAAAGTTTAACCCTAAATGCTGTACATATTCAAATTTTAGACGTCTTAGTAGCTGAAATAAACTTGTAGACTGACCAACACAATTTCTCAACAGTGTCTGTTTCAATGTAGCACGAAGTATAAGAGTAATCTTGTATACAATAAATTGTGAATAAAATAATACTCTGTAAGAACTTTGAAACAAGTGCATTTATCAAAGATCAAGTCAATGTGGACCTTATAATCTCCCAATCGTTCGTGTAGCCAAAACAAATATTAGGGTGGGCCGGTATAAAGATTTTTTCCTCATGTTTTTACATAACTATTTTTTGCACATAACTATAAGCTTTTTCAAATTTGGATTGGGCCGGTGCCTAGTAAGAAAATTTGTAGCATGGCCATCCTGTATTATGGAAAAATTGTAGTATGACCATCCTTGTAAATTTGGGATACACGAGTGCATTCAATCCACTCGAGGACTAATAGACCAATTGTATATGGGTAATATGGCCATCCTATATTTGTAAAGCAAATACATAAAGAACATGATGCATGGAGCAAGTAGTTGGTGAAAGAGGATTGGCTTCAGATTTTGGTGAGTTGTGGTAAATTGTAAACTAACTGGTAAAGCATTACTAAATTGTACATTGTCATCTTGAATAAATCAGGATGCTATGCCATTAGTTGCACTTGTCCAATAATGGGTGCTACGAAATGCCATTAGTACTTTGACTATGTTTAGCGTGCCATAAGATAGCTTATAAGATCACTATTACTCAGTAGCTTTTCTAAGAAATCTTTTCAAAAAAGATCCATTTGGATGAGCCAATTTATTTAATACGGAGTAAGTTTCATTGAGTAGGTTTTCAAATGAGCTAATGATTTTAATTTCATAGTTTGTTACCTCATTTTTGTTTTAAATGTATTCTAAACCTATGCTATTATGTCAATTTATTGACAGCTCCAAACAAACTTCTTAGCTAATTTTTACCAAACAATATATAAGATCAGCTGACTTACCAGCTATAAATTAGAGATTTACTTAGAGAGAATTCCCTAAATAGGAGTAAAAACGTTTTGAAATTCCAAAATAGGAGTATCATTTTTTTTTTCCCTAAATAGGAGTAAATTTCTGCCAAGTTTGGAATTATAAGGCTTTAAACATGGCATTTTTTTCTAAACTTGGCAGATTACTCCTATTTAGGGAATAAAAATCATGATACTCCTATTTTGGAATTTCAAAACGTTTTTACTCCTATTTAGGGCAATTTCTGATTTACTTATAAGAAATTGCACTAGATAGATTTGAAAACAAGGTGGTTTCCCTAAATATGAGCATAATGTTTTTCTTAAATAGTATGAGCATTACCATCCTGAAACCATGTTGTCATATTGTGACATTCATACTGCCATATTAATATGTGATTAAGGCATAATATGACAATATTATTTCAGTATGTCATACAATGACAGTATTATTTCAGTATGGCAGTATTTCACCCTATTTAGGGAAAATACATGGTAGTACTCCTATTTAGGAAAACCAACTTGCTTTTACTTTTATTTTGGGAAATTTCTCTCAACTTATAAGCTATCAGCTGACTTTGTCAATTATAAACTTGTTTTTCTAAACTAAATTTTACAATCAGCTTACTCCACCGTAGGTACATGGGTAAGACTTTAGTACAAAGGTAAGGCTGCGTACATCCGACCTCCCACCCCCACCCCACCGTTGGTGGGAGCCTTTGCGGCACAGGGGTAATGATGATGAATGAATGATGACAAATAAATGAGATCAGCTGACTTATAAGCTATCAAGTACAAGTATAATTTAGAGATTAACTTTTAAGCTATCAGCAGACTTTATCAATTACAAACTTGTTTTGTCATACATTATACATAGCAATTGGCCTTTATCATCAATCTTTGAATCATTGGATGGTTAGTAATTGAAAGATTTTACTTCTTTTTCTTCTTTTGTTACAATGGAAAGTTTGAACTAGCACTACTATTGTATAATCACAGTAAGAACAAAATTTGATTCTTCTTTTTTCCCAATCTCTTACTTGAAAAGCTTGAGCTAATTTAATAAGCGTTTTCAAGTAGTGTTTTTTTTACAAATAAGCTACCTGAACTTTCATTTATAGTTCCATTTCAACCTCCTTGTTTGTTAAAGCAAAATATTAAATGATCGTTTCTCTTTTATGCTCGCCATTACCACATGTAGTAGAGGGTAAGCTAAGCCGCTAAGGCCAAGGGTAGTGAACTGCTGGGGCCTGGGAGTATACAAGCCAAGTTAAGAAGTAAAAGAAGGAACACATAGTTTGCAGCAGTACACTGTCAACTGAATATCTGATCTTATTGTTTGCCCCATCCCTGTAACCCTGTTCTATCTATTGTAACCATCAGCATCAGCACCCTAATCTAACTAGTAGGGGCCAGTGTCATTAAGCTATTGTGCCAATTAATTATATAAAATTAATTAACACTACAATTTCATGCAAAAAGCATTGAGACAATGTTTTACTCTGGATGCCCTTCCAATGGTAACCTTTATTAAAAGGAACAACAAAATGAAAATTCTAAAACTGTGGTCATTAATCATTATAGGTTATTCGACATGCATGGAAAATAAAATTGGCCAGCAAATGAGTTGAGGTATTGTACATATTCATATCCATTACATAATTTAAATTGCAAGGAAATTCAGCAAATCATGGAAAATGACCAATTTTTTATTCAATATTTATTGCTTTGCTAGTTTTCTTATTTCTCCATGTAAGAAATAGGACACAGAGATCCATAATAAAGCTTCAGTAAACAGCTTAGCTAAGTCCCTACTCCCTTGCCATGTCGATCAAATTTTTGTTCATCTTAAACATTTAAGAGTATATTCTTATATATTCCAGTCATGCCATTAGAGCTACTTGACCATGGTGAAGCTAACTTCTTTAAAACGAATAATTCAAGAGCAACAAAAATGTACTACGGAGTAATTCACAAGAAACCTAGTCTCTTCTAGCAGATATTGCAGAGAAACTGGCATTTCATCATACGGTTCACAGAATATTTAACGATTTCCAATTGCTGTACCCAGATCCATGAAAATTCTACCACGCGCGCACATATATAAAGAGACGTAAACAAACACATCGCACATGAAATTCATTATCAAAACGATCCATCTTGGAAATAAATCACGTGCGGTATTGATATTTGTGATTGTTTACCTGGACTGGAGAAAAACCACAATATAATAGCAGAGAGTACTAGTACAAGTGGGATGAGGTGAATGGCGTTCTCCGCAAATCTGAGACGGCTCCGGTCCTTCTTAGCGACCTGGGATTGGGGATGATACGACGGCAGCTCATCCAGTGCGCCGGAAGACGTGGATTTTGGATTCGGAGATGAGAAGGCGGGCGTTGGAGATGTTACGGGGTAGGGAAAGAACTCATCGGAGACTCGACCGGAGCTCGACGAGCGGTACATCGTCGGTAGTTTTGGTGGGGACTGCGATAGGAAGGGGAGTAGAAACCGTTGAATGGTGGATGGTGGCCGGTGGGGTTTGACTTGTTTCCGCGGGTTGGGGACGACGGAAAAGCGGTAGAAATACTAGCCGCCAGCCCGCCACGATGACCTTTTGACTGTTACAGTTGTACGTTGATAAAAAGGGTGTCCGTAAATATAAATAAATAAAAATTGATGTAGCCATTTGTCCATATTATTTGTTCACATTTGTGTATATATCTCTTAATTGTTTGCGTACATTTTGTTTAAAAATTGTCTGTGTATACAAGCAAGCAACTAGACATGTGTACACAAAATATGTACAAGTAGCACGACTCTCCACTCACACTACATTCTCAAGATCATCTTTCATTTACATCAACCATAGTTAGCTTAAACGCATATAAAACACGTATCCGTTTTTTTTTGTCAAAAAAACTCGTTTTAAACGAATAGTTAGGCTGTTCCGTTTTAAATGGAAAAAAAACGGCACCCAAATGTTTTTTTACAAAAAAACGTGTAATAAAATAGGTTAAGTAGCAAATTAATAGTGGAATACAAACAGGTTTTTATGTTTTCTAAAGATATCAAGAGGAATTAAGAATAGAGTAGATCGTAACTTCGTGTATTATACGATCATGTTTTCAGCTTTACAAAAGGTTAGCTATATACACGTTCTGAACTCTATCTACAGCAAGGTAGGTTCCACAAAAGAGAACTTTATCCCTATACGTAAGCCAAACATGTTTAGCTTGTTACAAAAGATAAGGTCAAAATAAATAATATAATTATGTAACAAATAATTATGCATGCGGACGTTCAATAATAATGCTAACACCCCCCTCAAGATGGAGCATGGGGATCAAGAATGCTCATCTTGACAAGAAGATGATGAAATTGAGAAGTTCCCAAAACTTCAGTAAAAATATCCGCCAATTGCTCCGTAGTAGGCATGTAGGATGGACTAATAGCACCAGACTTCACGTGATCACGAATAAAGTGACAGTCAAGCTCGATGTGCTTGGTGTGCTCATGAAAGACAGGATTGGAAGCAATATGCAGAGCTGCCTTGTTATCACAAAAGAGCTTGAGTGGTGGAAGCTTGATTCGTAGAGTAGAAAATAGGCTTCGTAACCACAAAAGTTCACAAGTAAGTGTTGCCATGGAGCGATACTCGGCCTCAACAGAAGAGCGAGAGACCGTAGCTTGCTTGTTTGTATGCCACGAAATAGGAGAACCGCCAAGTGTCACAAAATATCCGGTGACAGAACGCCGTGTATTGGGACAAGTGGCCCAATCAGAATCACAATAGCCAAGAAAGACAAGATGAGAGTTGTGTCGAAACAGTATGTCTTGGCCTGGGTGTCCCTTCAGATAACATAGTACTTGTAAAACAGCGTTCCAGTGCGCCTCCCGAGGTGCTTGCATAAATTGAGAAAGTATATGGACATAGTAGTTTATATCCAGTCGTGTGAGCGTAAGATAAATAAGTTTGCCAACCAACCACTGATATTTTTAAGGGTCCGAAAATAATGGACTATCATCAGATTGAAGCCCATGATTTTGGGACATAGGAACGGTAAAGGGTTTTGCTCCTATGAGACCTGTCTCAAACAAAATATCCAGTACATATTTTCGTTGGCACAAAAAAATACCATGCAGACTCCGTGCAATTTCTAGGCCAAGAAAATATATTTCAAAAAACCTAAATCTTTGACCGGAAAGGTACGAGCTAGATAAGATTTAAAAATAGAAATCATCTCGCGACTGCTTCCACTAATGAACAAATCATCAACATACACAAGTATGCATAATAGGCGTCCACCTCGGTGGAGAGTGAACAAACAATAAATCAGCATGAGACTGTGAAAACTCATAAACAAGAAGTGTATCGGTGAATTTGGAAAACCAACAATGTGGGGCTTGACGAAGCCCATAAAGAGACCGTAATAACTTACACACCTGTCCCAGTTTAGAGGAGGAATAACCGGGAGGCAAATACATGTATACCTCCTCCTGCAAATCTCCATGCAAGAAGGCATTGTCGACGTCCATTTGATGCGTTTCCCATCCTCGCGAAGCAGCAATTGCCAAAATAGTACGCACTGTGACCATTTTGGCAATGGGAGCAAAAGTCTCGTCATAGTCAATTCCCTGTACCTGGCGGTTACCACAAACTACAAGTCTGGCTTTGTAGCGATCAATACTTCCATCACTCCGGTATTTTATTTTATACACCCATTTACAATAAATAGGTGTCTTGCCAAGAGGGAGTTCCTGGACTTGTCACGTACCTGTGCACTCCAACGCATCGATCACATGTTGCATAGCAGTACGCCAATTTGGATCAATGACCGCCTCACGAAAAGTATTGGATTCTCAGGTGGCTGAAATTGCTGCAATAAAAGCACGATGCTGCACCGAAAAACAGTTATAATTTACATAACGAGATAAGGGATACAGATTACCTGATTCAACCGATGGAGACGAGTGGGCAACCAGAGGAGTATCTATTTTCATAGTATTAATTTGTACCATATAGTCTTTATGCCACTCCGATTTTCGTTTCGGACGTGTCCCCCGACGTACAAAATCTCCATGTGGTTGAGTTGAGGTGCCACTGTTTTCCCGAGACCCTGACGTGGAATCAGAAGCAGCCGTGTCACTTTCTGTATCCTCATAGTGTCCTGCGCCATGAGATGAGGTGGATGATGCATGAGAGGTCATCACACCACCATGCATCCCATTATGCGAATTATTCAAGCCTGTCTGCATGCTGCCTTGATCACCATACCCAGATGCATGCGTGTCATCATGGTCAATTCCAATAAAAGAATCTGGAGATTGTATCAACGGTCTGGTCGTATCATTGCAAACGTCCGGTTCCACAATTGGATCGGCAAAGGGAAATTGGGCCTCAATAAATGTAACATCTCTTGAAACAAAAAAAATTGTTGAGTTTCAAGATTATACAATTTCCATCCCTTTTGAGAGTAAGAAGGATACACAAAAAAAACGCACTTCACTCCCTGTTGAGCAAATTTATCCCCATTATTCCCATGTACTCGTGCATAACAAAGTCAACCGAAAACCCGGAGATGATCATAGTTGGGTAGCTTGTTATACAATAATTCATAGGGGCTCTTATATTCCAACACCGGAGATGGCAAACGATTAATAAGATAACATGTCATCAATACACATTCCCCCCAAAAATCAATCGGTAGGTGAGCATGAAAACGAAGAGTCCGGGCTTTATTTAAAATATGCCTGTGTTTACACTCAACCCTTCCATTTTGTTGCGGAGTATAAACACAAGTTGTTTGAAAAATAATTCCATGATCTAAAAAATAATTTTTCAAACATAGAAACTTTGTCCCGTGGCAAAGGAGGTACTTGGAGAATCTAAAGGATGTCTGCCACCCAAAAAGGACACGTCGTGGTGGAATGATGAGGTGAAACAAGCCATAAGGAACAAAAGATATTGCTACAAAAAGCTGGGGACAAGTCGGAGTGATGAGAACATAGAAGCATACAAGGAGGCTAGAAGACAAGCAAAGAAAGCCGTAAAGGAATCACAAGGGAAAGTGAACAAGGAGTTGTATGAAAAATTGGACTCTAAGGAAGGAGAACAAGATATCTATAAACTTGCTCGTCTTCGTGATCGTAGGACTCAAGATATCGGAAAAGTTAAGTGTGTGAAGGATGTCGATCAAAGGATATTAATGGAGGACATAGAGATAAAAGAGAGGTGGAGGTCATACTTTGACACATTGTTCAACGGGAACAAAGTGCAAGATATTGGTGATTTGACCATACCAGATTGTATGGTAAATCGTGATTTTGTGAGAAGGATCCAACCAACGGAAGTTAAAGAGGCTCTGAGAAAGATGGGGCGGAAGAAAGCAGTGGGTCCAGATGGCATACCGATCGAGGCTTGGAGAAGTTTGGGAGAGAGAGGCATCGAGTGGTTAACAAATTTCTTCAACAAGATTTGGAGAAACAACAAGATGCCAACGAGTTGGAGAAAGAGTACTCTTATTCCCTTATTTAAGAATAAAGGTGATGTACAAGAATGTGTCAACTATCGAGGGATTAAGCTTATGAGTCATACCATGAAACTTTGGGAGCGAGTGATTGAGCAAAGACTTCGAAGAACGGTGAAGATTTCAGAGAATCAATTCGGTTTTATGCCTGGTCGCTCAACAACTGAGGCTATTCACCTTCTTCGGCAACTTATGGAGAAGTATAGAGACGCTCACAAGGATTTGCATTTAGTGTTCATTGACTTAGAAAAGGCATATGATAGGGTACCTCGAGAAGTTCTTTGGTGGGCCTTAACTAGAAAAGGCATTTCATGGAAGTATATCAGCATCATCATGGATATGTATGAGGATTGTACTACAAGTGTCCGTACTAGTGTAGGGAGGACTGCGGAGTTCCCTATTACTATCGGAGTGCACCAAGGATCGGCTCTGAGCCCTTTTTTATTTGCCATAGTCATGGATGAACTTACAAAGTCAATTCAAGATGATATACCGTGGTGCATGATGTTTGCCGATGATATTGTATTGATTGATGAGACACAATCAGGGGTTAAAGCAAAGTTGGAAGTATGGCGACAAACATTGGAGAACAAGGGTTTCAGACTAAGTAGGAGCAAGACAGAGTACATGGAGTGCAAGTTTGGTGGGGGTAGAAGCAGTGGTAATAGCGGAATTACTTTAGATGGTAAGGAGATACCGGTCAGCGATATGTTCCGTTACTTGGGCTCCATAATTCAGAAGGACGGTGAGTTAGATGGAGATGTATCCCATAGAATCAGAACAGGGTGGATGAAGTGGAAGAGTGCGTCAGGATTTCTATGTGATCGAGGTATGCCGACTAGACTGAAGGGTAAATTTTATAGGACAGCAATTAGACCTGCACTACTGTATGGCACGGAGTGTTGGGCGGTGAAACAATGTCACATTCAAAAGATGAGTGTGGCAGAGATGCGCATGCTGCGTTGGATGTGCGGGCATACTAGAAAGGATCGTGTGAGGAATGAGACAATTAGACAAAGGGTGGGAGTAGCACCTATTGAAGATAAGATGCGGGAGTCGCGCCTACGATGGTTTGGTCATGTGCATAGGAGACCGATTGATGCACCTGTCAGACGAGTGGAGATG